ATATTATTTATATATATATATATATATATATATATATATATATTTGTGTAAGGGGCAAAATAGCCGTATATGGAGTAAGGATCCAGCATAAGCTTAGGATAGTGTAAAGGGAGCAAGTCGGTTGTGGTGTGCCGATACCGACGATACGGTAGGCCTGTAAATAAAGAGGGCCCACCAAGGAGTAAGAAAGTAAAGTAAATGGAAAGAAAAGAGAAAGTGTTGAAATGAGGAGTGGGTGGGAGGGTCATTCTGATGCTGACCTCAAGCGATATGAGTCAGGTAAGGGGTGTCCCTTATATAGGGGAGTGAATTAATTTAAGCCCCTCCCACAAATACAGGCAAAACTGCCTTAATACTTGTGTAAGGGGCAAAATAGCCGTATATGGAGTAAGGATCCAGCATAAGCTTAGGATAGTGTAAAGGGAGCAAGTCGGTTGTGGTGTGCCGATACCGACGATACGGTAGGCCTGTAAATAAAGAGGGCAAAAATGAATAATCAAAGATTTAATACAGTCAACAAATATATACAAATTAACCAGACATTTCCTTAAATGCATTACAGTATTTAATTCCTGAAAGGATTTTGAAGGTAGGAATCTAGGACCGAAAGTGGGCACCATTTGTTGTGGGTAGGATAGTATGTTATCTCTACTGTTGGTGCATGTTGACTCATTTTGGAATGTGGTAGAGCCAATAGGTAATGATATATGTGTTTACGTACGTGGGATCGTTGAAGACAATGATCTGTCTGAGTGGTGGTGGTGGTGGTGATGGTAGTGGATTCTCTGGCCTGAGAAAGGCATAAAAGGCAATGTGCATGGCTGGTAATGGCCGACTTGGTAGTATAATTGAATGGTTGTAGATCTAATAGGTCCGATAAGGATGAACAGTTGGATGGCTATTGGTAATCTCTGAGAGGAACGTGGGGGAATGGATTCCTGAAAACCTCTGAGTATATTATTTTCTGGTATGATAGCATGAAGTTTATGGTAGTTTTGGCCATAGGTTATCATGTGTTGTTGAATGCCTGTAAAATATATAATTAATGGTGTATGAGATAGTTTAAGTTTAAGGTGGCAAAAATAAGCAAAACTTAGGAGAAATTTTGTGACACAGGTTGAGCTATGTCGTGTTCCAATGAGATTCTTTAAGCCAGGTGAAAAGCTGTGTTATGCATTCTACAAGTATAGGACGAAAGTGCTAGGTGGGATAGTGCATGCTATGCTGCATGAGTATGTCTAATCCATGATTTTGTCTCTGGAACGAAAGAGTGGACGTGACTGTATTGGCGGCTGTAGGAAGCGTATGATGAACATGCCTGGAATATAAATGAGACAGTTGTCGGCAGGGATGTATACCCCCGTCTGGTACATGAAAGTGAAATGTGATAAGTGGCCAACCAAGTGAGTTCCCCAGAAACATCATGAACTTATGGATGAGTAGTGGCGTTTGTTGATGATATGATATGTGCTTAGTTGTCTGAGTAACAACGGATTGATGACCCTGACCATGATTTACCCCATGCCACAGCAGCTGCTACAATGGGGTAGATCTCCCAAAGGGGCTGAAGTGGTGGAAAAATTTCCAAACCTGGATGCCATGGCCAACAGCCCCAAAGCAATTGTTCCCGGTAGATCGCTGCCAAACCCGTGGTATACGCTGCGTCTGACCATCTGGTTGGAGAAGTGTCAGACAATCCTGGAAGGAACATGCTTTTACCATGCCAAGTGGTTAAGAAATCCCCCCCCCATGTGCAGGTCTGCTGTTGCTGAGGTGTCTAGGCACCTCCTCTGATCGTCATGTTGGAAGTGTGGAAAAAAGGGGAAAGTACTCTGGATGTGAAAGCATGGCAAAATTAAGGAACCTGGTAGGGATCGTAGTTCCTTGCAGTTGTAAGTACTAAGCAGGAGGTAGTGATTGATGTAGTTGAGAATGTTCCCTATTTGTCTTGTGGTAACTTGCGTGTATGGATGCCGACTCAAGTAATATGCCCAGTAATGTGAAGATAGTGTCTGGGCCTTCTGTTTCTTATGGGGTACTGGGACGCCCAAGTGGTCAACCAGACTAAGCTGCCGTGAGGCTTCTAGTGAAAAATATGCTTTCTTTGATTAACAAGAAGTCTTCTAGATAGTGTATGACTGTAAGGCCTCTGGATATGTTATCATAACCAGCACAGAGTATCTGCGAATATCGATAGTAGGCTAATCTGTAGCTCGAAAGTTGAGCGGGGAAAGGATTGCCCAATTTATGCCATGTAAGTGCCAGTGTGTAGGGTAGATGGTAGCCGTTTACTGCGTTGATGATATTGGTCTTACTTAATCAAGCTTCAACCCATGCTTGAGTGATAGCTGTAAAGGTAGATCAATGGTGTTGTATAGTAAGAAAAATCCTCGGAGGGTATGAGGGAGTTGAAACTTGGGGTAGCGGAGGTGTGTGTTACCAATAAGTCCATGGTTAGTCTTTGTTTAAGGGAAGATTCCTTGTGACAATACCAATGTGTGTGTTTGGTGCCATGCTGTAAATGGTGGAGATTGGAAGACCCCTCTGCAAATCTTGGCTATGAGTGTGTTTACAGCCAATGGTTTTGTTGTGCTGACTGTAAGTGAGGGCATGCTATATTCCTTGAAGGTGTGTTTATGATACCTGTATGGGAGCCCTTTGAAGCTCCAGAGCTTTAGTAAATCTACTACAAGTCTGGAAGGGTGATGAGTCAGTAATGTTGAAAATGCATTGGTGTGTACAGATGGTGAATACGTTATTTGTAAGTTGTATTGGGACACATGGTTTGTCATGTGCCCTGAACTATTTGAACATAGTGCAACAGTCTGTATGCAATGCAACTACTCATATCAGTGGTCTCTGGTAGTTCAGAGGTGCTGGTACCTGGAGCCTGAGAGTGCTCGTCCATTTGTTTGGGACAAAATCCCTTCTGTATGGGTAACTGCACAAATAAACATCTCCACATATTCCAAATGCCAACACAACCAAGGGATGGTCAGTTCCCGATTTACCTGGAATCCCTGGATCTGACCATCACAGATACATCATCATACATATATATGCCTTGCTTCCCCAATGTGCTGGGATCATACGTGCAGGTTTAACATCTTGTGTGTCATAAGAATTGATTGTACCAGGTAACCGAGTTTCAGTTGGTGCTGGTTGTACAGTAGCGTGAGGCCCAGCCTTGTGAGGGCTGTGGTGACCAACTCGAGATTGCCAGTCTGTCATAAATTTTTTGGCTCATGAGTTTATGAGTGAAGCTAGCATAGCCTGGGTGTCACCTGAGTTGATGTAGCTGGGCCTTCCCCTGCCTCCGTGTTGTCCGTTGATGTATGGAGGAGTTTGAATAACTGCTTTCCTTGCTGTAGCAGGGTAGGAGATTTGTCACCTCCTTAGGTCGGTGGTAATGTGTGGGATCGTCCAGGATCTGATTGCTGCTGGACTAGCAACATCTCCTCTGCTTGAAGGTGTATCAATTCTAGCCGGGGTGCTAGGAAGAGGTGATTCTTCACCATCTTTTTGAGAAATACTTAAATAACAATAAAGATTGCAATTATTATTTGTACCCAGGGTTCTTGTACTGGCTTGCTAGCTAAGCCGTAAGGTGAAACGATTAGGCTTGGTGTTTTTTTTGGTGACTGGTGAGGCCCTGCTAGTTGCCAAGTGGCTTGAGAGGCTCTATCTATGCTTGGCGCGAGGGGATTTTGTGTGGCAACCGAACGTTGTGGCAGGATGTTGGCCTCTCGGTGACAGTAACCAGAAAATAGGAAGGAGAGTGACAGGTGAGGTCCTCTCTATGATACAATGCGAGGCGACTAGCTCACGAGTGGCCCGAGGGGTGTATGCCTCCGAGTGTGAGGCGGGGTGTTGGCCTCGCGGGACCACTAACCGAAGCATAATGCAGAGAAAAAAGGGGGTAATACCTATTGGGCCCTAGAACCCTAATTGCCAGTACACTATTACTATTCCAGGGAAGGTAAGAGATGGATAACTATGTGAGCAGGTGTATGTACCTGGTAGTATGGTATTGAACCTGACAATCCGTATAGGTTTTTTAGTAGTAACTGTAACCTGAATGGATAAAACCGTATGGCATAAGGAAATATGGCATAGACCAAGCTTATCTTAATACGTACAGTATATGTGAAAAGTAAAGTGACGTGATGTGTAAATATTAAACATCGTAGCCATACTGGTTAAATATGTATCAATCTTAACCCATTAAGTGCCGTATGTACAAGTGAAAATGTGGTCTGTCCCCACCTTGTATGTTGTATGTCCCCTTGCTAGGGGAAGTCTGTTGCGGGAGCAGCGTGCTGTGAAAAATGTATGTGAACTATATTACCAGTTACATATATACAGATGCGTCTGCTACTGTGTAATAATATATGTATTTATACCAGATGTTGACATAGTGCTTGCTATGTGAATTGTTGTATGTCTTATTGAATGGTAGGGGTCAGTGAACATGGTGTTGCAAAATGCAAGTGCACTGGAGATCTGCCGAGTGCCCTATAGGTGGCAGTGTAGTTGGATACTGATTGGTATGTGAAATGTTGTTTGTCTGTTGACCTATAGGTGTAAGTGTTTTGGTGTTTGTAAAACCCCATGAAAATTGTCAATGTACTTGACAGACCTGTAGGTGGCAGTGTTGATAGAACCACTGTTGGTCTTGATGTGAAATGTAAATTATTGTGAATTAAACCTGAAGTTGAGCCCGTGCTGGAGTTTAATTTATGGTCTATAGTTATGTTTAAAACAATCTTATGTGTAATTTATATTGGCTGGTAAATTGTATATGACATGTGAAGACAGTTTTGCTGTTGACCAGTAGGGGTCAGAAATGCTGATTGTATGTTAAAATACCCTTTAACCCCTTAAGGACCAAACTTCTGGAATAAAAGGGGATCATTACACGTCACACATGTCATGTGTCCTTAAGGGGTTAATGCTACCATTTGACAGATAGGAGTCAGTATAAAAACGAAAATGCTGTAGTTCGTTTGTTTGCTTATGAAGTGGAATAAAATCTGAGAAGCCTGTAGTATACTGATTGACCGGTAGGGGTCAGCATGTAGGCGAAAATGCCGTGGTTAGTTGGTTTGTACATGAAATGCAATAATGTCTGAGAAGCCTGTAGTACACTGAATGACCTGAAGGGGTCAGTGTGTAGGCGCAAATGCAGTGGTTCGTTGGTTTGTACATGAAATGCAATAATGTCTGAGAAGCCTGTAGTACACTGAATGACTGGTAAGGGTCAGTGTGTAGGTGAAAATGCAGTGGTTTATGGTTTTGTACATGAAAAGCCAAAAACGTCTAAGAAGCCTGTAGTACACCGAATGACTGATAGGGGTAAGTGTGTAGGTGAAAATTTCAGTGGTTTGTTGGTTTATACATGAAATGCAATAATGTCTGAGAAGCCCGTAGTACACCGAATGACGGGTAGGGGTCAGAGTGTAGGCGCAAATGCAGTGGTTCGTTGATTTGTACATGAAATGCGATAATATCTAAGAAGCCTGTAGTACACTAAATGACCAGTAGGGGTCAGTGTGTAGGCGCAAATGCAGTGATTCGTTGATTTGTACATGAAATGCAATAATGTCTGAGAAGCCTGTAGTACACCAAATGACCAGTAGGGGTCAGTGTGTAGGTGCAAATGCAGTGATTCGTTTATTTGTACATGAAATGTGATAATGTCTAAGAAGCCTGTAGTACACCAAAAACCGGTAGGGGTCAGTGTGTAGGTGAAAATGAGGTGGTTTATTGGTTTGTACATGAAAATGCAAAGAACGTCTAAGATGCCTGTAGTACCCCGAATGACCGATAGGGGTCAGTGTGTAGGTGAAAATGCGGTGTTTGGTTGGTTTTTACATGAAATGTAATAATGTCTGAGAAGCCAGTAGTACACCGAATGACCGGTAGGGGTCAGTGTGTAGGCGAAAATGCAGTGGTTCATTGGTTTGTACATGAAATGCAATAATGTCTAAGAAGCCTGTAGTACACCCAAAGACCGGTAGGGGTCAGTGTGTAGGCGAAAATGCAGTGGTTCGTTGGTTTGTACATGAAATGCAATAATGTCTAAGAAGCCTGTAGTACACCCAAAGACCAGTAGGGGGTTTAAACGAATGATATGCATGAACATGCAATGGTTTTAGAACAGACATAGACAAAATGCAGCCGTAAAGTGAGGACCTGACCCGTGCATGGGACTGATGCCTGGCGTAACGGGTAGGTCGACTTACTGTTTGTGAGTCACTTGGACACCATCCACGGCGATGGATTGAAGAAAGAAGGTGGTAGGCCGGAAAAGCCTGTGGCTGGATTCCTGACACAGCTCTGCTTAGAAAACCTCATGGAGTAATCAGGTAAAATGGCGTCTGGATGACCCTGAAGTGGAAATCATTCTGATGCTGACCTCAAGCGATATGAGTCAGGTAAGGGGTGTCCCTTATATAGGGGAGTGAATTAATTTAAGCCCCTCCCACAAATACAGGCAAAACTGCCTTAATACATATATATATATATTTGTGTTAGGTGCTTAAGATAGTACAGTGTGAAATACCATGAATAAGCGTAGGATGGTAAAAGGAGCAAGTCGGTTGTGGTGTGCCGAAACCGACAATGAGGTAGGCCTGAGAAAGAAGAGGGCCCACCCAGGAAAAGAAATAGAAAGGAAATAAATGTTAAAAGTGGTGTGGTGGGAGGGTCATTCAACGCTGACCTCGAACGGTAAGGAGCAAGGTAAGGGGAGTGCCTTAAGTAGGCTAGGGGTAGCAAACTAGCACCTCCCACAAATGCAGGCAAATTGCCTTAATACTTGTGTTAAGTGCTTAAGATAGTACAGTGTGAAATACCATGAATAAGCGTAGGATGATAAAAGGAGCAAGTCGGTTGTGGTGTGCCGAAACCGACGATGAGGTAGGCCTGAGAAAGAAGAGGGCAAAAATTAAGTAATCAAATTTATTAACAGACAACCAATACATATACATTTTATCAACCAGACATGTTTATGAAAGCATCCCTTAATTCTTGTACTGGGTTCGGTATGTACCGTGAGTAAGCGGAGGACTTCCAGCGCCCCAGTGTTTTGATAACATGAGTTGGGATGTTGACACTGGAGGCTGTGGACGCGGCTCCTATATGAAAGGAGTGTCCTGAGTATTTGTTTGCATTGAGGCCCAGTTGTGTGAGCAAGGACCTGACGTAGGTCATGAAGGTTGTAGTGGTGAGTACTGCACCTTGTAGCTGTAATAACGGTTGCGAGGGCAGTAAGTGATGGTGCTGTATGCAGGCATCAACAACCTTGACGGGACACCATCTGTTGTGCGTGGGATAGTACGTAATGTTTACAGGTATGTGCTGACTGGTTTTGGAGTGAGGTAAAGACAGGATGTAATGATCCATATGTTTTGTCAAGTGGGAATAGAGGAGGAATGGAGTGGTTTGGGTCGTGGAGGTCGTAGTGAATTCTCTAGGTCATAGAAATCCGTAGAAAGCGATGTATATTGCTGTTTTAATGATAGAATTTGTATTAGTGTCAAACGGTTTAAGGTCAAGTAGGTTAGATAATGCTTTGAAGATATGGT